TCAGTGTTCCATGCTTGGCTTCTCCATAAGGCTGTTTATAGAATAGCTCTAGCTTCTCTCTAAATGATTGGGGTGTGTGTGTGTGTGTGTGTGTGTGTGTGTGTGTGTGTGTATGTGTGTGTGTGTGTGTGTGTGTGTGTGTGTGTGTGTGTGTGAGAGAGAGAGAGAGAGAGAGAGAGAGAGAGAGAGAGAGTTTTATGTGTGTGTTATGACTTTAGGGAAATAAGAACAGATAAATATTTTTTACCCCAAATAGGATACCAGTGACAGACAAAGGGAACAGTTTGCTTGGTGAGCCAATATATTTACTGTTGCTATAGTGACATGGATGAGGGCTTACTCATAGAAATGTGGGTGACTTAAAAGCAGCAGCATCACCAAAAAGGCCATCCCAGTTCAGCATGGGTAGCATGTCACAAAAGGTCCATCCCTGGAACTCTGCACAACTTGCAGTCAGCTCCACTGGAGAGGCTCTTTCTTCCTGGCCTCAACCTCTCAGCAATTGCTTGGGATCACGTGACTTTGGGGAAAAGATTTGTGAGTCTTGCTTCACAGACTGCTTGAGCCTTGGAAGTTTCATTAGCTTCTTGGGTCTTTTGAACCCTCCTTTTACTTTATGCCTTCTAATTTGTATGCTTCTGTTTCTTTTTCTTGTCATGTTGTGTTGTAGAGCACCTCTATCACAGTATTTGATAAGAGTGATATGAGCATCTGACTGGCCTTAGGCCCTCAGCACCTTCCTCCTCTTGGTGTTTCATGTTGCTCCCTGGCAGTACAATGGCAGCCTTGGCAAGGACATCAAGCAGTTGGTGAATTACAAGGTGTTTCATGTTTTCCCATGTGCTTGAAGTGTACAAGAAGCTGGTGCAGATGCCCACAGTCCTATCTTTTGCTCTACATGCTTTGTAGGACTCTCTATAGCTGAAGAAACCAGTTTATGGGTTTTGGGGAATTACTCTGATGCTATGGTATCTGACCTATGGGACTTGAGCGACAGATCAAAAGCACATCTTCCTCTCTAAGACCTAGGCACACATGGCTATCTGTTTCAAATACCAAAATCATGTCATTGGAGATATTAAGTCCACTCGTTCAAATCTCTCAAACTATTGTAGCTTTTCTTATCCTTGTCCTGAGAAGAGTTTGGGTCAGGATAGACTTGAGAAGGACATCAAGCTGTGGCTTATGCAGTGTGTGCTTCATATCCCGAGGAGACTCCAACGTTTGCAGAACCAAGTCCATAGAGAGAAGCTGGCACTGCCACTCTCTTTCTTGAAGTTTTGTGGATAATAATGTGGATGAAGGGGACACAATCGATTTGGTGTCACAGCTTTCCATAACTGATCAATGAGCGGTCTTTCTAACTCATGTTCTAGAATCTTCATTATATTAGGTATGAAACTTTTTATGTCTATATCATGTCTATACAACAGACCTAAAATGGGTCAGAGTCATTTCTCACTACCTTCTGACCCCCATAATCCTTTTGCCCCTCCTCTGGGATGTTACCCAAGGCTTTAGGAGAGGAGATGACTTCTCATGGCTAACCTTGTTTGTTCTACAGTCTAGTCTTACTGGTCCTCAGCTACATTCTGGAATTTTTGCCTCTTCTTCTGGAAAGGAACCCAGCTTTCCAGCTCTTGAGTTCCATGGGTTCTTCTAATCTGGTCATCATCTCTTGGGTCCTCTGAGCCATCCAGGACCTTCTCTGGGTCATGAATAATGCTATAAAATAGCACCTCCTCTCCTTGCCCTTGAGGTGTGTGAGCTCTGGCCACAGTGCACTGGGTTATAGCTCCTCTATGCTCCTGAATTGTCCTCAGGTGTAACATGAATCTTAAAAGTTCTTATTAATAAAATCAAACCTGAGGCAGGTATTGGGGTGAAATACTGGAAGATCAGAGAGACAGAACAAGCCACATCTATCTCACCTCGTCGAATCCTCAGCTGGTCTTGTTTCCTCAGACTGGAAGCCTCTGAGTCCTCACCCAGAATGGGTCTCAGCTGAATTGTGTTGCTAGAAGCCTGAATGCTTAACCAGGCCAAATGCTTAACCAGCCAAAATGCCTCTAGTTTTTGGTCCTCATGCCTTATATATCTTTCTGCTTTCTGCCTCTCTCCCTGGGATTAAAGGCTTGCTTTCTGGGATTAAAGGCGTGAGTCACCATGCTTGGCTGTATCCTTGAACAGATGGATTTCTGCCTCTGGAATGCTAGGATTAAAGGCGTGTGCTACCACTGCCTAACTTCTATGTTTAATATTGTGGTTGTTCTGTCTCTGACCCCAGATAAGTTTATTAGCATGCACAATATTTTGGGGAACACAATACCACACTCAGGTCTTTAACAATATCTCAGGAAACATCGCAAGAGCCCATTGAGGATAAAACATTCTGGGTTCATATGCTTTGATGCAATGTTAATGGCGTTATTTTCCTAGGCTTCCTGCACAGCTCTAGAATTATCAGTTTCATTTTAAGTTCCTGCATTGTCATTTTAAGCATAGAAGACATAAGCCTATACATTTTAGTGTAGGTGTTCCTAGGCTAAGAAAGTTCAAAAGCACCCATCTGTATGTGGGAGAAGGACTCGACTAAGCATGGTGGGAGGACCATGCCTTTTGCTTTTTTTTTTTAACACAGTTAAATGTTTTCAGGTGACTGGGTCATGAGTTCCTCTCTCTTGAGTATTTGTTCAGATTCTTGTTCTGAAGCGTGAAAAAGAGCCTTCAGCTGATTAGAGAAAGAGAATGTCCAGGGATCTAGGGGCTATGACCTATCTTCTTGGTAACTTAGACCAAAGTGAGCATTGTTTTGCTATTATCCATGGTTTCCTTGTGACAATGGTTTGGATATGAAAATCTGAGCTTTTCAAAACCCTGTATTTTGATGCCAGGCACTGTGGAAAACCCTGAGTCCTACTATGTTGTCTTTTCCATTGAAATACACTGTTGGGGTGGCACAATGTATCCGTGAGCAGCTAAGAAAAGCTGTCTAGTGGATGTTCGATTCTGCAGCACTTCAAGAAGATTAATGTCTAGTGCATTTGACCAGTGCTAGGCAATGTGAGATCAAGCTTGGTCAGCTTAACCCATAGGAGCCGATCCTCTGACAGAGCAAAAGGCCTGTAGATTTAAGTTCATTCTTTCAGATCGCACATCTCTAGGGTAATCTGGGGCTGGCTGAGGTTGCAAGTAGCCTTTGGGGTGTGCCTGCTGTTGTGAGCCTCTGCTCACCTTCCAAGAAAGGCTCAGACACCCAGTAACCAGTGAAGACCACAGTTGGAGCAATATATTTTAATTTAGTGTGTGTGTGTGTGTGTGTGTGTGTGTGTGTGTGTGTGTATGTGTGTGTGATATGTTTGTGGGTGATCATATGCATGAGTGCATGAGCCTATGGAAACCTCAGAACAGCTTCCTATATTATCCTCAGGAACACCATCCATCCTCTTTGAGAAAGGGGTCTCTCATTGGCGTGGAGCTCACCAATTAGCTAGACTGGCTGGCCAGTGGGTGCCAGGGAGCTTCCCATCGCCATCTCCCTACAGCAGGGATTATAGGCTCACAGTACATTTTAGGTGGGCTCTGGGGTTCAAACTCAGATCTTCATGTTGTAAGGCATGCTCTTGGAACAAGATATTTGTTTCTAACATGTTATTGTTTAGAAGGACACACATGTTAAGATTTAGTTGCTCACTGTAATGTTTCTCTTTTTCACTTTCTTTTCATTTATTCTGTGTGTCTTTCATATCATGCATCTTGATCTCATTCATTTCCCTGTCCCTTCACATTTGCCCTCCACTCTTGTGCCCCCCCTAAAAAAATAAAAGAAAATTTAAGAGGAAAAAAGGAAAAAAAATTAAAATCTCATCATGGAAGCTGCAGTGTGACACAGTGAGTCATGCAGTAAACTCTTTTGTCTACATGTCTTTACTTGCAAGTATGTTCATTATAGAGTCATTGGTCTGGTTCGAGGCCTTTGGCTTCTGCTACACTATCGATGCTGGGCCCTCACTAGGACTCTTCTTGGATATCCTGTGGTTGCCCTGTGTTGTGGAGATCCTGCAGCTTTGGGTCTTCAGGTTAGGCCCCTTCACGTGCTCCAGCAGGTCATAGATGGGATGGATGTTGAGGCAGGCCAACTCATACCCCTGGTTCTGGGCCTGGGCAGCTGCAAGGTTGGTTAGCCCTTATGCTCACCACCAGGGTGAGCTCTCCAGCACAGCCGTGGCTAATTCACTCTTTGTGGCAATGAACAAGGGGTGGGGCTGGTTCTCCCGCCTTCAAGCCCTAAATTTTTAGGAAGTTTTCACTTAGCACTCTCACAACTGAGATATCTCAATACAAGTTTGAAGGAGAGTTTGACAAAACTCATTTGAGGGAAGTAAGGTAAGCATGTCCACCTTGGTCATAGAGACAACAAGCTGATTTCCTTGTCTGAAGTGAACTTTGTGTACTTGTAAATCTTTGCAGAAAATGAAATTTGTTACCTTATAGCACTGTGGGTGGGCATTGAGATAGGGTTACACTATGTATCCTTGGCTGTCCTGGAACTTGCTATGTAGACCAGGCTGACATCAAACTTACAGAGAATCATCTGCTTCTGCTTCCCAAGTACTGGAATTAAAGCCATGAGCTACCATGCTGTTCAAAATGAGAAGATAATTACTAAGAATTGGTGTTCTTCCTTTTCACCTCTATTGCTTGGCAAAATTCAACAACAATATTATATGGTCCTGGAATTTTCTTGAGAGTTTTATGTACTATTATGTCTCATTTTGGTCATTGTATAAACACCACATAATACACATAGGCAACTAAGATGGCTGTGAGTTTAACAGCGGATGTAGTCTTAGGAAATCATCATCACCTGTGCATCTGTAGTTGACCAAAATGTTACTAGGTTTATGACTCCGTGAACACTATCTCCTCAATAAATATTCTTCTAGTTTCATTCCTGCTCCTATGACAAATATATTGGTGAAATTATTAAGGCCACTCCACGTAGTTAAAAGGGAGGTTTATTTTGTGGGGTAACTTACAAGTGAAGGGATAGGCTACAGAGTCTGGGAAAGGTGTATCACAGTCCCGTGGTGTTCTCTGGAGAACTCTGCTCGGTCTACCTCCAGCGTCCGGGGTCCAGGAACCAAGAGAGCTAGCGCATCCAGATCTTGGGTGTTCAGAGTCCTCTCTCGGCCCCACCTTGTAGGCGTGACAATTACCGAAGCCTCAATGGGGGTTGGAACTTCCAGATCAAAGCTGGAATGGCTACCCACTACACAAATACTTTGACAAAAATGAGTTGTAGGGACAGAAGGTGTGTTTGGCTTATAATTCCAGGCCACAATCCATGATTTCAGGGAAGTCAAGGCAAGAACTCAAGCATGTAGTCACATCACACCCCTAGTCAAGAAAAAAGAGAGAATACACACCTTTGGTTGTTGGCTTGCTTGTTTTCAACTTTTTTACACAATTCAGGACCCCCTCCTTATAGAATGGTGCCTCTCACAGTGGGCTGGATCTTCCCATATTACTTAACAACTAAGAAAATGTCCCATAGACATGCCTACAGGTCAACCTGATCCAGATAATTCATCATTAAGAGTCTACTCCCGGGTGTTTCTAGGCTGTGTCAAGCTGACAGTTACAACTCACCAGCACAAACTGCCCGAGCTACTCAGACAATACATTTCTTCTGAGGAAGCAGAGCTAAGTTTATGTTTCTCATGGAAAATGATCATTTCTGTTTTCATGTTTATAGCCACAGTGTTGTTCAAAAATCTTCATATTGCCTTTTTAATATCTGAAGTATTTATATGATGTTTTCATTTTAATTTATTATGTTTTTCATTTTTACTTTTCTTTTGCTCTTGATCAGGTCTGGCTTCAGATTTATCAATTTTATTGACTTAAAAAACTTGATTTTATTGCTTTTCTCTATTGTTTCTCTGTTTTCAATTTTATTTATTCCCATTCTTAGAATTATTATTTCTTTCTTCCTGTTTGTTTTTCTCACTTCTCCCTTATCATAGAAAAAGAAAACTTATTACATAACATTATTATATAATGCAAGATTTATTGTTATAAATTTACTTTAAGAACTTACTTTCTGTGCATTCCATGTGGTGGTTTTATCTTTGTCTAGACAAAATTGGTTGCTGGTCTTCCCTGTGACTTTCTTCATGACTCAGGTTTTTTTAGAAATATCTTCATTCATTTCCAAGTCTGAAGAAAATTTTCAAATATTTTTTTCTATTACTGAATTTTATTTTAATTCTATCATGGTAAAGGAATATACTTCTTGAGTTAATTATCTCAATTTTTGTTTTTACTTTTTCCAGGGTTTTGGGAATGCCTTATTTCAACAAACACTCCATGCCCACTTGAAAAACTATATTCTCTTCTCATTGGGTGGGATGTTATATAAATGTCAATTGGATTATGTTCGTTAATAATGCTTAGGGCATCTCTCTACTGATTTTCTGTCTGCTTGTTCTATTAACTAATGAGAGAGCAGCTGAAGTCTTCAACTACAGTAAAAAATTCCTCTCTAGCAAATTCTGTTTTGTTTTTTTTAAATAAAATGTTCACTTCTTTAAGAATTTCATACATGCAAGCCAGGCGGTGGTGGTGCACGCCTTTAATCTCAGCACTCAGGAGGCAGAGCCAGGTGGATCTCTGTGAGTTCAAGGCCAGCCTGGGCTACCAAGTGAGTTCCAGGAAAGGTGCAAAGCTACACAGAGAAACCCTGTCTCGAAAAACCAAAAAAAAAAAAAAAAAAAAAAAGAATTTCATACATGCATGCAATGTATTTTGATCACATTCACTCCAGCTCCTCTCTTAATGCCTTGTAGATTCACATCATCCCTAACACTCCCTCCCACTTCATGTCATTTTTTTGACAACTCACTGAGTCACATTTGTGCTGCCCATGTGCTCATACATGTGGTCCACTCACTGGAGTGTGGGTGGATCTACCAGGAGCCACATCCCTGATGAAAACTGATACTGCTTCTCACAGACATCCTCAACTGTTAATAGCTCCTTAGCTGGAGTTGGTGGGTCATGTGCCCCTCCCCTCTTCCTGCTAAAATGTTGATGTTGTACATCATGCCTGTTGTGCTTCATGCTTCTGGCTTGATGTTGTACAGATCTGGTGTAGGAAACTGTATCTGCCATGGGTTTATGAGTACATCAGTCCTGTCATACACAGAAGACACAGTTTTGCCACTCTCTACCCTGCTTCTTATAATCCTTTGTCCCCCTCTTCTGCATGTCGGGGAAGATGGTATGCTATGGATGTCTCATTTGTGGTGACCTTATTCTTTGCACTTTGACCAGTTGGAAGTTTCTGCCTTCACTGCTGTCTATTGCATAAAGAAACTTCTCTAAGTCTGAGAACTGTACTAATCTATGGGTTCTTGGTCAGATTTATAGTACCAGGCATGTAGATGGGACCTTTCATCCAATCAAAAAGCAGTTGATTGCCTCCATTATATTCACACTGTTACATCCATGGGCATATACTGCCACATTGTCACTATTGTGGCTTCCAGGGTTCATAGCTGGGTATGACTGTTGATGACGTCCCTCCATGAAGCCCTCACAGTACATCCGAGGAGTACGAAAGCAATCCAGCAGGGAGGGGCTCGCTGGTCAGTACCAACCTGATCTCTCCATGTTCTATGACCAAAGTGTATGGTGTCTTGCTCGTATCTTCTTGATAGACCAGCCCTTTTTATCATCAGGTGTCTTTATTCCCTTGACAATTCCTTTTGGTCAGTCTACTATATAAACACAACTCTAGTTTTCTTCTAGTAATACTTTGCATATTTTCTGGTATCCAATTTTAGCCTAACTATACACATTGGCATTCTTTTAAATATCACATGCTCATACTTTTTACTCCATATTTATTTTCTCTAGATTTCATTTGAATTGTATAAATTATTTTTCTTAATTGTATTTATTTAACGGATAGATTTAAAATCTAACATGTTGTTTTCTATTTGTCATTTCTGATCCTTCTTCCAATTCTTTCCTTTTTTTTTTTTTAATTTATTTTGCAATACAATTCAGTTCTACATTTCAGCCACGGATTCCCTTGTTCTCCCCCCTCCCATCCCCCTCACCTTCCCCCCAACCCCCCCCCCATTCCCATCTCCTCCAAGGCAAAGCCTTCCCCACAGACTGAGGTCAACCTGGTAGACTCAGTCCAGGTAGGTCTAGGCCCCTCCTCCCAGGCCGAGCCAAACAATCCTGCATAGGCCCCAGGTTTCAAACAGCCAACTCATGCAATGAGCACAAGATCTGGTCCCACTGCCTGGATGCCTCCCAAACAGATCAAGCCAATCAACTGTCTCACCCATTCAGAGGGCCTGATCCAGTGGGGACCCCTCAGCCATTGGTTCATAGTTCATGTGTTTCCATTCATTTGGCTATTTGTCCCTGTGCTTTATCCAACCTTGGTCTCAACAATTCTCGCTCATATAAACCCTCCTCATTCTCGCTAATTGGACTCCCAGAGATCCACCCGGGGCCTAGTCATGGATCTCTGCATCCAGATCCCTCAGTAGTTGGATGAGGTTTCTAGCACAACAATTAGGGTGTTTGGCCATCCCATCACCAGAGTAGGTCAGTTCGGGCTGTCTCTCGACCATTGCCAGCAGTCTGTTGTGTGGGTATCTTTGTGGATTTCTGTGGGCCTCTCTAGCACTTTGCTTCTTCCTATTCTCATGTGGTCTTCATTTACCTTGGTCTCCTATTCCTTGTTCTCCCTCTCTGTTGTTGATCCAGCTGGGATCTCCCGCTCCCCCAAGCTCTCTTTCCCTCAACCCTCGCCTTTCATTACCCCCACTCATGTCCAGGCTGTTCATGTAGATCTCATTTCATTTCTCTGTCATTGGGCGATCCCTGTGTCTTTCTTGGGGTCCTGTTTTCCAGGTAGCCTCCCTGGTGATGTGAGTAGCAGACAAGTCATCCTTGTTTCATGTCTAGTATCCTGCTATGAGTGAGTACATACCATGTTTGTCTTCCTGAGTCTGGGTTACCTCACTCAGGATGATTTTTTCTAGATCCATCCATTTGTCTGCAAACCTCATGATGCCATTGTTTTTCTCTGCTGAGTAGTATTCCATTGTGTATATGTACCACATTTTGTTTATCCATTCTTCAGTTGAAGGGCATCTAGGTTGTTTCCATGTTCTGGCTATTACAAACAATGCTGATATGAACATAGCTGAACAAGTGCTCTTATGGTGTGGTTGAGCATTTCTTGGGTATATGCCCAAGAGTGGTATAGCTGGATCTTGGGGGAGATTGATTCCCAATTTTCTAAGAAAGCGCCATATTGATTTCCAAAGTGGTTGTACAAGCTTGCATTCCCACCAGCAGTGGAGGAGAGTTCCCCTAGCTCCACATCCTCTCCAGCATAAGGTGTCTTCAGTGTTTTTGATCTTAGCCATTCTGACAGGCGTAAGGTGGTATCTCAGAGTTGTTTTGATTTGCATTTCCCTGATGATTAGGGATGTTGAGCAGTTCCTTAAATGTCTTTCGGCCATTTGAGTTTCCTCTGTTGAGAATTCTCTGTTTAGTTCTATAGCCCATTTCTTAATTGGACTGTTGGGCATTTTGATGTCTAATTTCTTGAATTCCTTATATATTCTGGATATCAGTCCTCTGTCAGATGTGGGGTTGGTGAAGATCTTTTCCCATTCTGTAGGCTGTCGCTTTGCCTTGTTGACCGTATCCTTTGCTCTACAAAAGCTTCTCAGTTTCAAGAGGTCCCATTGATTGATTGTTTCTCTCAGAGTCTGTGCTACTGGTGTTCTATTTAGGAAGTAGTCTCCTATGCCAATGCGTTCAAGACTACTTCCTACTTTCTCTTCTAGCAGGTTCAGAGTAGCTGGATTTATGTTGAGGTCCTTGATCCACTTGGACTTAAGTTTTGTGCACGGTGATAGATATGGATCTATTTGCAGCCTTCTACATGTTGATATCCAGTTTTGCCAGCACCATTTGTTGAAGATGCTTTCTTTTTTCCATTGTGCACTTTTGGCTTCTTTGTCAAAAATTATATGTTCATAGGTGTGCGGATTAATGTCAGGGTCTTCAATTCGATTCCATTGGTCCACATGTCGGTTTTTATGCCAATACCAAGCTGTTTTTATTACTGTAGCTCTATAATAGAGCTTGAAGTCAGGGATCGTGATACCTCCAGAAGTTGTGTTATTGTACAGGATTCCTTTGGCTATCCTGGGTTTTTTGTTTTTCCATATGAAGTTGAGTATTATTTTTTCCAGGTCTGTGAAGAATTGTGTTGGTATTTTGATGGGGATTGCATTGAATCTGTAGATTGCTTTTGGTAAGATTGCCATTTTTACTATGTTAGTCCTGCCTATCCA